CCGGCTGGTCCGTAAGTCTCAGCCCAAATCTGCAGACACACGAGCCTGACACCTTGTATAAGCTTGTGCAAGCCTCCAAAATAATTGGTTTTTTTGGACAGGAACCTATCTCTGGAGGTTCACCCATCGCTGCTCTTTATGCCTCTCCTTAGTAATAAGCACACGTAGCAGTATGAAACCATTAGGCTGAAATGAAGAGTTTATGTTGCTCATCTTGCCAGAGCTTTCAGTCTGCAGAACAGGAGTTCAGATGTAAATACCCGTGTTACACCTGCAAAATATGTGATCGAATAACTACCAAGCTTGTGCCGTGCCAGCACAGCTCATGTGTCTACCTGAGGACTACTGGGTGAGCACGAGATGAGACACAACCAAAAAAAAGATGCTCCCTGCCCCAACATGTGTCTACCTGAGGACTACTGGATGAGCACGAGATGACACACAACCAAAAAAAAGATGCTCCCTGCCCCAAAGACATTACAATATAAGAATCAGAATAGATGGAGACAGCGGGACTACAAAGAACCAACAAGACAATACCGGTTAGGACGAAGGGCAGGGATTTCAGTCCAGCAGCAACCTAAGTGCTTTGTAGGCAAATAATAGCTTTAAGGAAAGTCTTGAAGGGAGATATTGATGTGATTTGGTGGATACCCATAGGGACTGCTCCAAAACTTTAAGAGGCAACTTGCAGGGAGTGGGAAGAAGAGGGGAAAGGACACAAGAGAGCTTGTTAGAAAATGTTAGAGGAGCTGGGCCGCGCGAGCCAGAGGCAGGAGTTGACCTCTCAAAACAGAACGAGAGATGACATGAAGGGTCTTGAAAGACTGGATCTTGGATGCAATGGTCAAGCAGGAGCCAGCAGCGAGATGGACTTGGAAAGCGATGAGCTCGGAAAATGATCTTTGCAGCCATACGGGCAACCCTGCTGAGCGCGGTTTCGCTATAATGCTCATTTTAAATTGATACCGGATTTCACTTAGCGCTCGGCGAGTTTCGTTGTAATGCCTGCAATCACCATCATGGGCCATTAAAAACACTTGCCGTTGCCGTCTTGGATCGTCAAATACTTTCGGTTTCACTTAACGCTCAGTTTTTCAGGAACTGATTAAGAGGATAAAAGAGGGACAAGGTCGCCTGTTTCAAAGCCAGAGAAAAGGAGGCAGCAGCAATCGTGATTTGAGTTGGAAAGGAACCTTATACACCTTATGATAAAAGAATCTGCAAGGTTTAGACTGGATCTGAGGACCTAGATTGAGGTCGCCGTCAAAGTTGATGCCCAGGATATGGGCCTGAGTGACAGAGTAGCACAATGGTCAAGGACGGAGGTAGTGGGGTGGATACTTCAGACTTCCTTTCCAGCTGTATTGAGCTTGGATGTCTGCAAAGATGCATCAGAGAGACAGGGTGAGATTTCACTTTGGACAGAAAGGCTATGAGTCACTTGCACAGAGACGGTAGTCAGATGGGTGCAGATGGAAAGCGTTACCCAGACATAAAAAACACAAGGGAGAAAAAAACGCATGGAAGATGGCCCCCATGGGACCGCTCACAGAAGACCGGAGGAGTAACGAGGAAGATCCTTGGAAGGACGTGCCGACACAGCGACTAGAGAGACCAGAGGAGGACCCAGCCACGGAAGCAAAGAGAGGACGAGATTTCAAGACGTGGATCTCGGTCAATGCTGTTGAGGTCAAGGATGAGGAGAGAGTCCCGTCAGAAATGGGAAATAAGCTTGCCTCTGGCTTCCAACCTGCAGAGACCTTCCCTGGTCCAGGACTAGAACATTTATGGTCATATTCAATGCTAGATTTTCCTTTCCAAAGCCCAAAGCCAATGTGAAAGGCAGATGGAAAGTGGTTTACGATCTCAACGCAGGGGGTCGCCCTTATTCTTCACAAATAATGTCATTCCAGCGAGATGCCGTCCAGTGCCAGAATTAATGAACAGAAAGACCCACGACAAAAATAAGAGATCTTGCATTTTGCAGTGGCCTCTGCAGTGTTACAGTGCCTAGCACAACCACGAATCTCCAGACTGCTGCACTTAGCAAAGCTAGGCAGCTTGCCTCCAAATCTTTTTTTTTTTTCTTTAAATAAATAATGATAATGATGAAACAACTCTGTAGATAAATAGGACCTTGACAGATTTAAAGAGTACAGGCTTCATTAAGCATGAGCAGCCCAGGCCCTTATGCACCACTTAACTCCCTCTTAAGGGCCATAAGATGGAGATTAACCAACCCATAACACTTTGTACTAGCCCTCAGCGAAGAGGTAAACTTCACCCCAGGGGAACGTGCTCATTTTTAACCAGGCAGTAATAGCAACAACGGCATCAAAGAGTCTAAGACTGAGTCATGGAAATGCATTTCACTTTAACTCTCCTTACCCCGGATGCACAGCTGGGAAGATAGTGTCACCTGCAAAAGGAAGCGTATTGTTCTCATTTGCAGATCTGAGGCTCGGCTATGCTGTCGCAAGCAACCAAGCGGCACACGGCTACTCTACCCAAGGGGGGAAGTGGAAACTCCCAACATCCTTCCTGCTGTGGAAGAGGCACGAAATCCCACGGGAAGTAGAAAAAGGTTGAAAACCCCCAGAATAATTTAAGGGAATTTCCACATCTTCTGTTTCAAACTTTTCAAAACAAATGTGTGGGGGCAGCAGGCAGGGGAGAGGGGCTGTTTATTGGGAGGAGGGTGCTGGTGGGATTTTTTTCAGAAACAAAAAAAATTTAAAAATAAGCAAATGTTTTCCAGTCGGCTTCAGTTATTTGTAAGTTTTGCATTAAAAAATAAATAAATGCAACACAATTATCCATAAAACTCTAACCCCGCTCTTTTGTGCGATGATGAATCTGTTCCTTGTAAGGTCGCCTACTAGATGCTCTGCTCTTCTAACAGAAGTGTGACTAGCTGGTCAAGAGTATAACCTTGCTTGTTGTGTTACAATTAAAAGACATTTTTAAAAGTCAAGCGAGCAGCCATTGCATGTACCCAACCCAGCCAGAGCCAGGTGTATGCTTCTCTTGCAGCTGCTGGTGGTGCCACAAGCACCTGCACCAATACAAGGATCTGGATCTACAATGAACCTCACAGGAGATGGAGGGGGGATGAGGGGTTGCTTCTGGGACAAAATGGAAAATTGTTTCCTGTTTAAAAGAAAGGGTTTTTAAACAAGTAGTCTATGGCCTTGATCATGTTTTTGGATATTCTTCTTCGGAGGATGCTTATGCCTGCGTCTCCACAGACCTAGCAAAGCCATCAGGGCCCCACTTGCAATGCAGCCTTGGTAGGCACCACCTTTTGCCGGAGAAATTCAGACCCTGAGAGGTGCAAATGTTGACTAATTCTCTGGTCCCTCCACACGGGAGCTTTGATTTGCACAGCCTGGATTTTTTTTCTAATTCCTCATCGGCCTCAACTTAGTGATCCCAAAAGCAAGCGGTTGAATTGCGGCGGCCAGCATACAAAACCTCCCCTTCTCCCACACCGTTTCCACCTGAAAGAGTGGAATGACCCTAATTGCTTTGACCCGCAGCCCAGGAGCACGCCGCTGCATTCAACACCCAGGGTAAAATTCATGCCTGTGCAAGAAACCAGCCCTGGCACCCCTTTACAACCATGCAGCCCTTCAAAATGGGAAGTCATTAGAGTATACATTTGCACCAAGGTAAGCATTAGACATCATGATTTATAATACAACACCGTGTCGATGTGTGCATGCTGCTGCCCCCCTCAACTTGTCCAAGACTCAACAGATCAGAGCCCTGGTTACGTCCAGACACTCGGACCCATCAGCCTAAAGAAACCGAAGTGAGTCGTGTCACGGATGGTGTGGGCCAGCTGCCTCGGCTTAGCTGTGTCAATGCAGCCAATGAGTCAAAGCGCGCTGACGCTGGTTTTACCCAGCCTGAGGTTAATTCACATGGGGACTTTCTGTGGCTCCAACAGGCCCGTTGCAGCAAAGCTCGGCAGGGCTCGGTTGTCTGAGTCCGAAGAGAGCAGGGTGGAATTGCAAAGGTTTTAATGACTCAAGTCAAACGGTGCAGTCTGGGGTTTTGCATATTAGCTTTGTTTCACCAACAAATGAAAATACTCAGCTTGCCCAAGAGTGAATCTATTAGTCACCCCGGGTTCTGGGAATTCTCCGAGTGGTAATGGGATTAGCAAATAAATGTGGGTTTTCCCTCTTGTGATTCCAGTCTTATTCAGCCAGCGGTGACGCTCCCACCGAAGCAGAAGGTCAGCACAAATCCTAATCCATACATACCTCCTAAGCACAATATAGGCTGCCCGAATTTCCCTCTGACTGAGCCATCATTTGGACAGTGCGACATGCTGGGAAAATCCCCTTCAGACTCCTGACAAATAAAAAGCAAGCGGTGCCTGCTGCAAGACCCATTTCTGATCCATGTCAGGACAGGACTTCTGGGGTTGGGCTTGGGGCTGGCCAGGTGCCCATACAGGGTAATGAAGAAGTACCAAGCTCCAGGTGCAATTCATGCCCACATAGACAGCAATCAAAAAAGCAGGGAGAAAAAAACTTAACTGCCTCCTAATCACTTCATGATTTCCTGACAAATCCCAGAACCAAGGGGGAATATCAGATTGAAGCTTATTTGCTTTGGGTCAGGAGTACTCAGGGATGAATGTCATCCTTAGGACACAGGTAGCTTTGAACACTACAAACAGCAGTGCAGGATCTCCTTAACGCAGTGGTTTGGAAACCAGGGATCCACTTCCTATTGTAGACTTTCCCATGGTGGTCGTTCAGCACTACACCCAAAGCAGTATGAAAGTACTAGAAATAGAAAGGAGTAAGGATGCGTCTTCCCTAATCTTCCTTTTTTTAAAAAAAAAAGTCTTTCTGGAGTGTGGTTTTTAATGAGAAGATAATTTAACTCAAACCCACTCCCCAAGCCTAGCTTCCTCAGCACTGCTCAGTGAATACCTTAACACGCTCTCCCTCCCATCAGGTGGGTGATAAGTCACTTACCTCACCAGGTCAGCACGTTCCACTCCTGCATTTCCCAGAAGGATCAATGGACACTAACGGGATGGGGTGCTCCAGGCAAAGGATGTCAGCTCCTCGCAGGAACTCATGAAAGAGGAAGCTGGTCCAAAAAAAAGCAAGGAAAAAAAAAAAAACCACCATGAAAAAATTATTACAAAACACAGAAAATGTGAAAAGTTTTCACCAGTTCTACCTAGAAAATACAGAAGTCGTTTTGCAATAAGATGGCAAATGCCAACCTAATCCAGACAAGGCTCTTTGGGTAAATCTGATATAATTTATTAGACCAACTCAAATAGTTGGGAAAAAGTTCTTCTTTGCAAGCTTTCGGGTATAAAGCTTGCAAAGAAGACTTTTTTCCAACTGTTTTCCACTTATCACCCTGAGCCAGCATGATGCGACCCGTCTTATGCATCCGTGAAATCTGGATATGTCTTTCACAGGAGCTAATCTGCCCCACACGTCACACCTGTGCCTGGGAGCCTCACCACGCTCCTTTTAGGTAGGACAATGCTATTACAGCCATTTGATGGATGCAAACGGCAGCACACAGAAGCTCAGGAGCAGCCAAAAGAAAAGTCAGCGACGGAGTAAGGCAACGAGCTTTGTTTCCCAAATCCCAGATCAGCAAAGTAATCACTACATCATTAATCACTAGAACTAATCACCGCTTTATAGCTCCTGCCTGATCTCACTGCAGTGTGATGTCGAGCGGTAGACTGCAATGGCTGGAAAATAAACTAATTTTTCCCAGTGCACAGGGAAAACGTTGATTTATAAAGAAATTAATGTTTTGGGACTGATTTATGCATACATAAGCCCCCCCCCCATTAACACTGACAAAACAAGCACATCATAAGAGAATTATACCCTCTGGTCACATTTTCTATCCCTCTCTTGCCTTTTCAACTCAGTCCAGCGGTCGCTTCCTGGGATCGTTTGCGCAAAGGGAGAGGCTCTTTTAAAACGAGGTCTTTCATCCATCCGCAGCTCCAAGTCTCAGACCTCTTACCACAACCCGGAAAACAATTCTGGGAGCCATCGGTGTGCACCACGGCACTATCATTAGAGCTATGGGCACGCCTCTGATTTCACCGTATAATCACATGCGTACGGAAATCTTTTCTAAACAGCGACCCTGATCGTAAACCTATGCATCATGAAGGGCTTTAAATCTGAGCCTGCAGTTTTATGCACGCAACTGGTTTTCACGGGCAATTGCATACACAGTGCTGCAGGCTTGTATTTAATCTCTCTTTTGCATGCGTAGTCCTGGCGTTACGGCCCCGGTGGTGCAGACGTTTATGGCCGTGAGGGGCTTTACGTGCATCCACGGAGACCAAAAGGACGGGCACGGTTCATAGGCATAATGCATCTCAGGTGAGCAGCATAAAGCACACTCACTGATTTCAGAGTCTCTGCATAGGCTCAAATAGAGGCTTAGCGGCTACAGTTTGCAAGAGATAATCCTGGTTAAAGGCCTTTGTTTTACAGTGTGGGACACAGGAAGAGGATTAGGGCAGGAAAGATTTTAATGAGCTCTGAGAGAGAAGAAATAGATCACATAGTGGTCCGATCTGGTTTAAAACACTTCCAGACGTTTCTTTTTCTGCCTTTCTTTTCTGTAAATTGTCCAGCGAAGACATCTAATTAAATCAGACGGCGGGGTGAGGGGGAAGCACACAGACGTGGATTGCTCCAAAGTGAAGCTCCTCAGAGGCATTTTTCAATTCAATTAAACTTCAAACGCACGCACGTTTGCAAGGGCGAAGAGCACAAAAGGCCCTTGCCGGCTTACCTCCTTCGAACCAACAAACAAACAACTAGCACAACCTTTCGGCGAGAGTCCAGCGCAAACCAGAGAAAAACCATTACGGTAAAAAAAAAAAAGCCTAGAAAACAATTAAAGCCTGTCAGGCTCCCCCCTTCATCCTTCTCTCCCCTTGCAAATAGGCGTGCAGAGTTTGCCAGCTGATACTAAGGGGTCTTTGACCTTGGCAGCACGCTCACTCCTTAGCCTCGGAGAGTAGGTGGAAGAATCGGCGCGTGGGATAGCGAAGTTGCAGGCCGCGGGGCTCCTTCGCAGGCCCCGGTTGCGCCGAACCCGGAGGACGAAGAGCATCAGGCTGACTCTCCGCGGCGGGGGACAGCTCCCAACGAGCGGGCGAGTGCAAGCGCTGCGCAGCTGCTGCGTGGGAGGTAGGAGCTGGTGGTCTCCAGCAGGGTTAAGAAAGCCTCTCACGTGGAAGGTCATCGCCTTCATCCTGCTGTTCACACAAACCCACGGTGCCTCTGGGAAAGTGAGACTCTTCATGTCTTAGCCGCAGGCGGACAGGGATGAAAAGCTCCTCAACTTCCAGACCACCCTCCATGGGTGCCTCTTGAGGATCATGGCAGTGCTTTGGCTCGTGCTCTGAGCTCGAGACCCCTGGCAACCTCTGGGCAGGATTTCGTCAAAAGACCTGATCATGCAGAGCCCTGACTGAGCACTGTTCAGGCCAACCCCGCAGCTGCACTACATTAAATGCCAAACTGAAAGACGCCAAAGCCTAAAACTGTTGCCACTGGCAAAGGGTCCTGAGGGGCTGCGATCAAGCTCTCTGCCTTCGAGCTACGGAGAGCAGCCATTAAAAACAAGAGTTACGTGTGGTGATGAATGACCTTAAGTGCTATCAGCTGCCCTGTGTTATGATACAGCCCACAGGTTTCCAGGGCAGTCCAACTTCTCTTCTCTGCGTTGTGGCTCCATGGAGAGCAAAATTAGAAGGCAAACCGTGCCGGAGGTAGCCAACAGAAAGATGCTGATTTTGGGAGAAGAGCAGAAAGATGTGGTCGAGTGCATTCTTTTGGGTCACGAGAACGGAGACCAACTGCAGCATCAATGCAATGCGCTCCTTTCTTCTCATCAACCATTAAATTAGATGTGTTGGAAGTCTCTAATGCACCTTCTGATATCCTAATCATCTCTCTCTCTGGGGAGGTAGGCAACCGTTGATCCTCTGGATCATAGTGCATGTATAAGATGTCTAGTCAGGTGCCTGATGAATCCACTTGTAGGGAGTCGTGCAACCAGCACACTAGGACCTTCAATGCAATGCATCTAGGCAAGAGTATGGCGGAGCGGAGGCTACCCAAGACCTCCCATCCCACCTTTAGACCACTGAGACAGAATCCAAAGGCCAGACGAGTCCAGATGTTTAGTGCCTCGATGGTCGCAACTTCTTCCAGAGAGCAACCAAAAAGAACCAGTGCTGATGGCCTAATGCCTCAACAAGGGTGCTTTTCCATCAGGGTGATGTCCCCCTTGACCTTTCTCCAACCAAGGAGTGCCCACAAGGCAACGAGGGCTAGGGTTTTGAGACATCCTATACTTGCCTTACTCTGGAGGTTGCAACATTACGGGATTTTACAGGAGCCACCCTGCCATGAGTAGCCCCGCCACGTTGCCACCAGGTCCTCCAGTTGGATGCAGTTTACGGTCATACCCAGGATCACCTCTGGGTATGCATGTGTGTAGAAAACAACTGTTCTAGGAAATACACCGTGAAGCCGGCAAGGCGCATTGTTAGCTAGCGCTCAGCAAAGCCAAAACCCCGTTCCAGTCTCTTTTCATCGAATTCACTGTCCTCACACTCAGCAGACTTAACATTGGCAGAGGGAAGAGTAATTTCAGAACATAATGGACTGGAATAGCCAGCGCCGCTCAGGAATGTCGTAAGGAGAAAAGACTGCTGAAAGGAAATGCGTGTAAATGTGTGTAAAACAGAAGACCGAGAGTCATGACTCTGGTCTTGCTTCTAGATCAGCTTCCTATTCGCCGACTTGATTTTACATTTTCTTCTAGTTTCTTCCAATGTAATTTGACTCCCTTGCGCACACTTGGGGGCGTATTGATGTATAAGTTACGCTTCCCGTGTGCATCTGGCCATATGTCTTTATCACTTGGGTCTTCTGGGAAGTATAGAAATATGTTGCAGTTTTTCAACACAGTCTCCTTTGTTTATACCTTTGTAAACTCCCTATTCATCAAGGCAAACGAAAGTCTGTACTCAGCGCTTATCTGATTGGAGTGCCTGTTTGATTACAACCATGCATAGCCTGTGATGGCTTTGGTGCATACAAAATATAAACAGACATGGTGATTACTCCCACAAACCCTAAAAAAGGAAAGGGTTTTTTTATTTTATTTTATTTCATTTTATTTTCTTCATAGACCAGCAACCACAAAACAAACAATTACCATCTGCAAAAGAAAGTGCCTTCATTCCAGGAAAGAGAGGAGGTGGGAAAGCTGCCTCTAAAGAACGGGGTCAGATGCACATATGGATACTCTGATGAAAGAGGTTCAAGTTAGAGATGGATTTAAAAAAACAAAAAGATAGAAGGACTTGTTTTGTTTGGGGGCGGGGGAAACGGTTTTCGTGAAAATTACTTTTCGGGTTTGTGCTTAGCTTTTCCCATTACACTATACGTAAGCGCTTGGAAAAGCAAAGCTTGTGAAGTGAGCCACTTCTAATCAGTCAGCAACTGAAGGCAGGCCAAAGCTACTGCCCCGCGGAAACTAATTATACGAGGAAGTGATTGCAGCCTCGTCGTGTCACCGCCCTCTGCTGGACGGCATCCGATCTGATTGACTGTGTCATTGGTAGGAATCGCCGTTGCTTCGGGGGCCCGTCCAGACTCCTAACAACTGCTACGTTCTTACATGGTAGCAGCTTTATACCGTAGTTTGCACCCCAGTGGCACTTTGCAAAAGCTAAATTAAGCCTAATACAACCCGGAGCTGAGCAACGTTATCCTCTTTCTACGAGCGAGTGAACACGGGCACGGAGAAGTTAAGAAAATCGCTCCAGATTGCAAGCAGGAGGGTTGACAACCGAGCTGGAAATCAAATCTAGGACTCCGGATTTGGACTTTAGCAATAATCGTCCTACCATCCCCGCTCCGATCACAAGTGTATTCAATACTTCTGCCCGCAACCACAAGTCGTTAAAAAATGAAAAGCTTTAGCACACCCCTTCTTGCCTCAAATCTTCTTCCTGGCGACTTGCGCGCTCAACCTGTTAAAATTCAATTATAGTACATGAGACGCTAGGAAAC